TATTACTTTTAGGCAAAAATTAGTCTCGATGCATATCCCATTGAGCTACTAATTTATTATTAGTTGTATTTTCACTCCTCATTTCCGAACGTACCTGTAAATTTAATCCCAATTAGAGTTTTTTTCTGAATTTAGCTTTGCTAAGACAGGAAAAGCGAAAGTTAAGAATTATATCAAAGAATCCGCTTTTAACACAAGTGTTCGCTAGTTCTAGAGTTTTTATTTTATTTTATTCATATTGGAAGATTTGAATATTATTTGCGAAGATTAATATTGATAATAATGTACTCTTCTCTAGAACTAACTCTACCTAGAAACTGCTAATAATTTCTAGCTTTGTAACTATTTTAATTGTACTATAAGTGATTGATAATGTAACGTTGAGAAGTAACACACGTTTCCATTATTTTGAAATCTCGTTTAGATGCTTTATCGAATGACCATAAAGAAATGATAGTAGACGGAATTTGAATTGAATTAATTTAGTTTTCGAACTATTGATTTGACGTGACAGACTAGTACGTGGACTAGTGTTGTAGTACGTGGAAAAAGTCTCAGTAGCTTTATGATTTGGGTTTGTAGCCAATTTAAAATGTGGCCTTGCGTGCAGAACCGTTGATATTATTGGGGGTGCGTGAGGAAGTAATATAGGTTCACTAGCTGGTTCATTCTTCACTAAATTCATTAACTGGTTCATTCGAGCCAACACTGCATTTGATTGAACTTGATCAAAAGTTTAGAAGTCCAGGTCAGCTCGTATCAGAATCAAGTATTCATCACGAGTCTTGCTGAGCTCGACGTGTGTTTAGTTTAACGTTCGTCTGTGAATTGACATTGGATGTGAACTGGAAATTCAAAGCTAACAGTTGATTAAAAACTGTAGTTTGGTATTTGAACGAATTTTGAACGCACCAGGGTAAATAGTCATCATTTCACAATGAAATATTATTGTATATAATATTTTCATTATATAAATTTCATTATATAAATATTCTTGTAATAATATTGCATTATGAAATATAATAGTAAATCGCATTCCTATTTTTTAATATGTAAAATTTGATATAGAGATATTAATTAAATTTAGAGCTTGATCATATTTTGTCACAATCTTTGTCTCAATTTTGCAATACGAAACAAACTCTCACAACTGAGCAAAATAGATAGAATGACTTCGACAGAAATCAATGCAGGGTCAATCTTTGACTCAGGAATAATCACCCCTGATATTAAACTCCTACCGTATTCTACAGTTTAATTTCGTGCTGTTCAACTCCGAAAGTAGTTGTAATTGGTAAACTTACGAACATTAATCGAAGTTGAAACGGGAAAGTTCGGACTTCATGGCGCTCTAACGTTTCTAAATAGAATTCGGTATCGATGACCAGCGTTCGAAACAGCCACATTCGAGCCTCAATCATAGACCGTATCATAAAGTTACTCCTCTATTAGCAACATCCGTCAATCATGTCAGCGTCAAAATTCCCACAGCTGAAAATTTTTAAAATGAAATGAACACATCATACTCTTCGAAATTTTACATCTTATAAATTAACTGAAGTGCTACATACGCCATCTGATGACTTTAATCTATTTTAATTTTTTTCCGTCATTCACTCTGACTAATTTATTACATTAGAAGATTTCTTGCATAATTCATTTTTGAACCACATCCGTAATTTAAAATGGACTACATTCGCAATTTACATTGCATACGTGCTCAGGTTTTCCCGTATCGCAACATATCGTCTTCAATTCAACTTTGTTCACTCTTCACATCTTCCCTCATCGCCCATGATACTCCATCATAAGCGACACTTGAAAATAAACAAACGTCACGACGGTATCCAGGGGCCATACTTTCAAAACTCGCTAAGTGAACGTAAGTACTTACGCTCTATTTTCTTGGTTATGATTGGTGGAATTGGCTTGAAAGGCCGTCAATGATTGGCTGATAAACATACGATCTCTTAACTTTTTTTGAAAGTATTGGCCCAGGATAGTCGGTGTCACCTCCCATGGACACGCGTGGTGTTGTTGCGGCGTTGCGAGGGAACCGAGGCAGGGGGCGGCTGAGTACCCTCAGAGGGATGGGGGCCGAGTGCCCTCAAGAGACCGCCCGTCGCTAGAGGAAGTCACTGTGACTTCAGGCTTCGTCGGCGAGCCAGTTTATTCTCCCGCTAAATAAAGTGTCGCCTTCAGGCATCTACCATAGTTTCTTCAGTGAACGTCAGATAATTTTTATAGTTCCTTTTGTTGCATGTATCATTCCTTACTTTATTTTAAAATTAATACCAAGTGATTTATCAAGGTAAAAATCGAAATTTAAACTAAATGTAAGTAATTAATCTCTAAGAAATTATTTCGGATCGTAATCAGAAAACCTTTCAAGTCATTAGCTAGTAGAAAGTGATGTACCATCTCTGAATGGTTAATCTCGCACATCTTACGTATTCTCCGCCGCAACTGCTAGAATAGTTTGATCAAAATCAGCTTTAGAAAAACCTTCCGGAAAAGTTTCCTAGATTCAGATATGAAAACTGAAATATTTTATATTTCAGAGCATCGTCTAATTACTATAATGCAAACAGCGAATATAACCCAGGAAGTTTATTTTTTGGCGCATTTCTTACTTCATGGCTACTTTATGATCTACACCAATATTGATTTCATAATATCAAAGAATGCTCTTACAAATGATCTCAAGTAAATTAACCAACAAATTACTTCAATAGGCACAACATCATTTCTAATTGCAGGTGCGCTTAACGTGCTTGTTCGCAACTACTCAAAAAATGTAATTGCGTTGAGGATGCATAAGAGGAGTGTTGCGGGAGGCGTTCTTGTTACGGTGGTGTGGGCCGCTCGGATGATCACGAGTAGCGGTGACTTGCGTAGGGTGTTGCGGGAGGCGTTCTTGTTACGGTGGTGTGGGCCGCTCGGGCGATCACGAGTTGCCGTGACTTGCGTGGGGTGTTGCGGGACCGTTCTTGTTACTGTGGGGAGCGCTCAAGATTAGTGTATGTGTTTAGCTTATGAACCCCCTTTGTTCTAAAAAGCTCTTGAAATTTAGGTATAATTTCTAGATTCTCGATGGACTTGATTTTCGGGGCTGCGCTTACAATTGTAATTGTACTACGCGCTATCTTTGATTCAAACGGAATCTAAATCGGATTTGTTTACGTGTAGTAAGGTTCTAACTTTGAAATGCATTTAAGCTTTGGAATTAAATGAAATTCTATAGCAAGAGTCGCCTGTAAAATAATTCTTTTTACCATTACATGAGCATGATTTTAATTTCATGATGAATATATAATAATGTCTTTTAAAATTTTTTACTTCTATTTGAGTTTGAATCTATTATGTGCTTCAAGTTATGATATTCATAATTAATAAGTAAAAATACTCGAAGTTCACGATGAACTTAATTTTATTATTAAATAATTATTATACTTTCGATTTTGATTCAAAGCAGCATTTTTATTTTCCTGAGCTATAACCTCTTACGCGATCAGAACTTCTCGATTCGTGTTAAATGAGGAAACAAATTTCCTATATTTTAGGAAATTGGTTTCCGCATTCAAGGAGATCAATGTGATGCCTTTCATATATTTTAGTATATAAGAATAACAATTATGCGACAATCTTACTTATTTCACGAGTCGTTCTCGTGCAATAACAGCGGGTTTTTACATTCGTCATTTGTGTACACTTGAACTTTCAGTTAATAAAAATCTTTAACGTATTTTCAATATTAATGGCCCTCACAATTGTTTTCTTATTTTTCTAAATCAAATAAACTGTTTGATTTAAATTGTGTGTTAATTGTTTCATGGTGCGTATTACATGTTGAGTTTTTGTTTATGATTTGCCTTCGTAATTTAAGTATCCATTTTCTATTGACGATTCTTTGAAAACTTTTAAATTCAATTTTAAATTTCAAAATCGTTTTTACAGACAATCACAATTTATACACTCTTTTAATGGGGTGAAGCAATGACGCATTATTTGCTGAAAAGGAATTTTTGCGGCGAATTTTTTGTAGATCCATGAATACGACATTTGTTGAATCATGAATTGCTATGCAGGATCTACCCGACCTCAGTTCACAATTACGGTGCTCACAACAAGTTAAACTCTTCTGCTTTGATCTGACTCGAAAAGATACCAATATGATAATTAATCAGTAATCAAGAATAAAAAACTGATTTACACTAATTATTTTCTTTATTTCACTAAATCTTCAAGCTTCCCAAAAGTTGACTATCGAATTTATTATTGTCGTTTGCAACGTTCAAATTTTGCCATCGTGAAAATAGATTCCGACTGGAAATAAGAGTTACGGACGGTAAACTAGCTACGAAACGCGCTGCACTCAAAATTTAGAGCTCACAAATAAACATTTGGCTAACAAATTATCTAACATAATTTCGACTCTACAAACTCCAAAACTACAACACAATGAAATCTCAAAACACTTATTATAAACGTCATGACCCTTCGGGAGTTATCTCACTTATAAATAATGAATAATTTATGTAATAAAAATTTGCGATTCTTTGAATTTATACATTGTATTTCTTCTAAAATAAGTGTTATTCCAATATCCCATGGAAATTGGAAATATAACTTAGGATATCGTTTTCCGAGACAATAGCGAAACATCTCGTCGTATATACATGAAAGTTATTAAAATAAAATCATTTATATATATGTTCTGCAAATATTTATTGTTAATGATATTGTGAATTTTCTGACGCAAATGAGGCTAAACATTTATTTAAAATTTTAAAGCATCATTATTGAGTAAGATTTTATACGTGCTCCAGCATATGGAAATCGACGCTCTTATAGTTTATTTATATAGAATAGTGATGATATTGTATAAGTTTCTCTTTGTGTTGGTGTGTAGTTAACTTATACCTTTCCAGAGTCTTGGAGCTTGGAATAATTATTTATATTTATCAGGTTTCAACAACGGGAATTGTGCCAGCATAAGGCCGCCCGTCCTGGACAACGCTACAAGTCTGAACACCGCAGACGGCGTCTACACCTACACCTGCAATGACGGCTTCTTTTTCCTGAGCGGCGCCGCGCAGCAGAATAGTTCTTGCGACACAACCACCAATACCTGGAGCGACGTATACGACATCTGCGCTCAAGGTATGTCTATCGCAGAAGATCGCAACATTATCGTCCATAGTCATCATTGGTCTAATGTTCAATGGAAAATGAACTTGAACTATGGATGAACTGAAATTCAAATCTTGGGGGTTTTGGTCTGTCAAACTCTACTAGAGTATTTTGTTACATTATTACAGTTCTGGTTAAGCCTTCAAGGACCGTTAAAAGGTTAGCATTTTAAAAGTATCGGACTTAATTATTTTAATTGTTACAAATATAGCCGCAGGATGTTCCTCTCAAGGTCTCAGTTATCTATGATTCAAGATGAGAAATTTTAATCGTTTACGTTCTTGTCGGAATGAGATGCAGCATGAGCTGGAATAAACTTTAGGCTAACAGCAAGTGAGTACAGTATGATTGTTACATTTACTATAAACGCTATGCGATATATGCGGCATTAACAGTGAAATCTATCAGTGTAAGTCACATTACTATAGCGTATATTAACATATTTACCATAAAAAATTTAATTTGCTTCAAAAAACTTTTGTTGTCAGCATGCGTGATTCCGAGGCACTGCGCCGACGTGCAGACTCTCGGTATCACCGACAGCGGCACGTACCAAGTCATCCCATCGGGGCTCCCAGCCGACCCACCGGTCAACGTAAGTGTGTAGCAGATATAGAATAGAATAGAATAGAATAGAATAGAATAGAATAGAAAAGAAAAGAATAAAATAGAATAGAAAAGAATAGAATAGAATACAATAGAATAGAATAGAATAGAATAGAATAGAATAGAATAGAATAGAATAGAATAGAATAAAATAGAATAGAATAGAATAGAATAGAATAGAATTATTATTATTATTACTATTATTATTATTTTTAGTATTATTATTATTATTATTATAAATTAGCGTATAACATGAGATTGTGGCTGCAGGTCACATGTGAATTGGAAGCGTCAGGCGGAGGTTGGACGGTCGTCTACTGCCAGTCGACGGCGAGTCAAAACATTCTGGGCCTGAGTTCCGTGGAAACTTCCCACTCTTGTCCCTACAGCATTGGTGAATATCCTCATCGATAGGGTATTGAATTAAATTAATAGTATTTTTATACCCAAAGAATTTATAAATTTGTGAGAAATTATTACGGTTCGTCTTAGCTATAATTTTTTCAGGTGTGAAATGAATAGCTCGTAGCGCCGAATGACATGTTTTATAAGGATGGTAAATTAGCTTGTCGCAAGAACTCGCCGTCATCTTACTTATTGCATGGCATTTTATACACAAGGCTCCAACAAATTCGAACGAACTTAAGATAATATTTGTTCCAACATATACAAGTATTTTGCTACAATACCACCAATACATTTGTTAATGTTGTACTCTACCACGATATTCGTATAGATACCAATTTATTGAATGGCCTAATTAAAGTAAAGGAGCCCTCCATGTAAAAAATGTGAAAGTTCGGTTACAAAATTTTCGAGTAATTATATCGTATACATACCAATTTATTGAATGGCCTAATTAAAGTAAAGGAGCACTTTATGTAGAAAATGTAAGAGATTTGCTGTTACAAAAATTTTCAAGTAATTATATTCCTTATTTCCCACATGGCAGGGCTAGACAACTGGCATAAACTAACGGGATCAGTTGGAAGTTCCGAAGCTGCGGTCGTGATGAACGTAAGCGAACAAATACTAAATAATAATAATAGCAATAACAAATAGCAAATAATAATAGCAAATACTAAATAATAATAATAGCAATAAATAATAATAATGGCAATAAATACTGTACGATAAGGCTAATCTTACGGTAAAAACTCTAATCGCTTGTACCGTTAGCCCAGATTCATCGGCAATAACCATGGAGACGCTGGTATGCTAAATACAGTTTTTTACTTATATGTTGTAAGAAGCGCCCAGATTCATCGGCAATTACCACGGAGACGCTGGTATGCCTGATAGGTCTGGCTGAGGTGGCCCTGATTACGACCACGGACTGACGGAACCCTCCTATTGCTGACTCACAGTAAAGACGGGACTTACAACCCGGCGTCAACTCAAAAACTGACTTCCCGAACCTGAGACAAGAGCGACTAACTCATCGTCTTCATCATCATCACTATTGCCATCATTATTGCATTAAACTGACATCTTTGTGGAGTCAGAGATTCTGCGACAAAAAATTAGGCGGTACCATTTTCCAAATGACTTAGATAAATAATTTAACAAATCTGAAGTTATTGTTCGGCACATGAAGCTACGTGTACGTAGGCCGCTACATGTATTTAGAGAAACCGACCTGCAAGATAAAAATATTCATAGACAATTTAGTGGCGTATCGCCACAGACTTATTCCTATCTGTTCAGGCGACGCGCTGTGGCACAGCCTGGGTGTGGACTTCCAATTCGATTGGTGGACTCCGTGGATCGCCAACAACGACACTTCGACGTGTCAACTCATCAAAGATAGAAAAGGAGTTAGTTTATTTCAACTCGACTGAGAAAATTTATAAATCTTCTGAATTAGGTTGCTTGAATAAAAACTTCATAGTTGTCATTTAAGAGAAATTTTTATCGATAGATGAACCCAATAGCATAGAAATCGCTGAAAGTTAGGTGCTTATTGTCCAGTGGAGCGATAGTCTACTTAATATGAATGATGAAATTAATGCGTAATTTCATCAATTACTTTGGAGATTCCATTATAGGTAATAAATATAGGAATTAGCAAGCAAAAAATTTTACTATTTCCACGGATTGCGATATGTGGAATTTAAAATTGATCAAAAAATGTATCCAGTCATAACGTAGAATAAATTTGTATAGGGTAAAGATATGTACATATATCAGTATTTTCATGAAAAGAAAATCGAGTAAAACCTAAGCAAAGGATGGAAAAGTTAAAATATTGAATAATTACACCCAAATTTTTCGAATCAATTCATGTATGAATCCTAATAAATTATAATGTCTATCGACAGATAATCCAGCACACGAAGAATGAACGCTAGCAGGAACATAAGAATCCGTGTTTCACGTGTAAATATGTAAATTATGTTTTGTACAAAATTGTACACATTTAGAATGCATGTACAGAAATCGGATTAGGTTAACAGGTTGGTAAGAAGTTATAACATTTATGCTCGCTAAACATCGACTCCCGCACAACTAGAATCGAGCAGTCAAGTTACCCGTTCATTGCTAGCTCACCAAATTCACGAACTAGATTGTAATTTTTAAAGAAAATTTTATCTCAATTAAGACAAAAACAATTACAATTATGTAAGAATCTACGTTAACGTAGATTCTTCAGCTGCGTAAAACTGCACCTGGAGTTCACATTAACTAACTGAGGCCATACTTTCAAAAAAAAGTTAAGAGATCGTAAGTTCATCAGCCAATCACTGACGGCCTTTCAAGCAAAATCCACCAATCGTGGAAAATGAAATAGAGCGTAAGTACTTACGTTCACTTAGCGAGTTTTGAAAGTATGGCCCAGGCTGGACCCTTAGAAGAACTAGCGAGAATTCAATTTAATGCTACGAAGCATCGATCATTCGTTTGAGAACACAGTATAAGGTTCTTAATATTGAATCTTTGCAGTCTTACCTGAAACACGACCCCGCCATGACCTGCTCCATGCAATGGGGCTGGGTTCCTGCCATAGCGACGGCCACGATATACATTCGACCGAAGTCCATCGATGAAAGTAAGATGCAGAGTCGCACAAGGAAAATAGACCAAACTAGAACAGCAAAAAGAATTTTTTATGAATAGCAGTAACCCTTTCCTGAATCACAAATTATAGTATTATAAAAACTACAATAAAACGACGCAGTAACGAAAAACACCTCACAAACAGCTGCAATCGAATTGAATTTTAGAATTAGTCTGGATTTTTGCTGTTCCACTTATTTGACAGAGACCAGCTCCCCACTCACCTTGCTTGACGGAGACCAGCTGCCCACTCATCTTATTTGACAGAGACCAGCTCCCCACTCACCTTGCTTGACAGAGACCAGCTGCCCACTCACCTTATTTGGCAGAGACCAGCTGCCCACTCACCTTATTTGACAGAGACAAGCTCCCCACTCACCTTGTTTGACAGAGACCAGCTGCCCACTCACCTTATTTGACAGAGACCAGCTGCCCACTCTCCTTATTTGACAGAGACCAGCTGCCCACTCATCTTATTTGACAGAGACCAGCTGCCCACTATTTGACAGACACCAGCTGCCCACTCATGATAACGGGCGACATCGATTCTGATTCATGGAAAGCCACCACTTCGGTACTGAACTTCCCGCACGATCGTCTACCTGGGGCGAACCTCAGCTACACGTGCCTGGGGGGAGAGTTCTACTTGGAGGGAAACGACAACGGAGGCCGAACATTTGAGGGAAGTGTGACTTGCCTGAGCGGTAACCCTCCGCGGTGGGACAGGAACATCACCTTACCGTGTACATGTTAGTGAGCTAAGTGGTCGGACCGAACACGGAACATATAGTGCATGTGTATAAATTACGTGTTAGTATGTATATTTGTCGAGTTAATACCATTCTGTAAGTTCAGCGCTCTAGTGGAGTTGACAGTAAAAAACCACGTGCATTCCATTACGCAATAACTGTCTCTTACATTGTTAACCGAATCAAGTATCTTGTACAAATTTTCATCTCGGGCGAAATCTTTTCCTCAGTCACTTGTTCGGACGGCTTCAAAGAAAGCCAAAAAGTCGACGAGTGCTACAAGTTCACAGAAAATCCCACAGCGACCAGCTTCCTCAACGCGGCTTACATGTAAGTTCAGTTGTTAAATAAAATAAAATATTTTAATAAAAAATAAAAATCAAATCAAATATCCAAAAAAATCAAATATTAAATAATCCTGAATATCAAAATAAAATATTTTGATATTCAGGTGCATGTTGAGTATTACAAAGAACTCTTTGTTTTTTGATTACATATTCAATAACAATGGTCGTTCAAATTTTCAATAGAATTTTCCATGTCGTTCTCATCTCAAACTGTTATCCCTATAAGAGACCTTTTGAGCACTCGCTACGCCAATGACAATATTGACCCGCAAGTTGACATCTTCATCACGATTATATGCTCGCTAAAATTCACTTCTTTAGCTTATTGATAGTTTAACACAGTTTTTTTTATTTTTTTGTCCATTCATTTCACGAAAGATTTTCTACACAATTTAAAAAATGTTAGCGGTCACTCACATCAACTCATGGTTTTAAATAATAGGGAACTAGGTGGAAGCAGCGACCGGGCGATTGATGTTTTAACAGTTTATTCGCAATGTTGTAGCTTCAGATTCATCAAAATAATTCTTGATTAAACAGTCCAATAAAATAAACATTCTAAATTAATTATATAAATTAATCATACTAATAGCTTCGCCAATAAATTCAAATGGCTTTAAAAGTCCATTTCCATTCCCAGTAAAGCTTTATAGTTATCTCTTACTGCCTGTCCAATTTCAATTTTTTCTTTTGCACTCATTGAGATTTTGAACAAACTTCCAAGCTTCTTAATTCATGCTGCCATCCTATTCATATGATTTTGTCAGCTATTGCCACCGTTAAGTGCGGTCGCTGGTCATTAATTGGAGTGGAGTTAAAAGCAACAGTTCAGGTTATCATTTTTTTCTACCATGATACTTTTCGTGAACACTGGCTTCTCAAAAAAAACCGTCATCAACCATCTACTAAGGATTTAAATATTAGGCATATAATGGCGATGCGGGAGCGACCTACGTTCCGATGGGTAAACCGAAGTTATTATATTGCACACAATTTTTATTTTAACAACGTTATACAGCTTATGAGTGTTTCTCTTGTATTTGTGTAAAATATCAGGGTCATAGATCGAGCGGTTTCAGATAATCGGTTTTGCACTTCATCCTAATGGAGCTACATGATCGATGATTTCATTTTGGACATACATGATCCATTTTTCTCCGTTCCTCAAATTAATTGAACCCTACCAGGTGCACAGCTCAAGGAGCCAACTTAGTGCACCTGCAGTATGATAACGTGAGTGACGTCCACATCAGTTCTACACGTTGGTTCTACACAGCGCACGGTGGCCGGTACAGTTAATTTCGGTCTCTTACAATTCAGCAAATAAACTCAATCCCGGAACCTGTGACATAAACCTTGTATAAATCACAACGATGGAAATATTTGACAATTTTTTGTAAGAACATTTCATTTTAAATGATAGTAAATTGATGTAATCATTAGTCATCAAAGAGTGAATGACTTTTCTTCTGCCAGGTACAAGTTCGACAATCCTACAAATGTTTCAAGCTTCTACGATTGTCACACAAATGCTTCATGTGACGTACGTAATTAATTCTGACGTCGGTTATCGCCTACTTTCATTTCAAACAGTTTCTTTTTGTCAATATCTGTTTAAGCTGTCAATATCTGCAAGCTGTCAATATCTGTTTAATGGAGAGACCAGCATACACGAGTTTATACAGATGATAGTGAGCTAATTACCCGGTAAAGATATTATCCCTCATGTGGCAACAAATTAGAATAAAATTTAAAGATTTTCCTAATATGAACGACATATTTTTGATGGCAAACAATGCTTGCCTCTGATCCATCATTTGTAATTTTTTTCAGGTTAGCAGTAGCTCTACCCGGTGTCTGTTTCTTGTACAAAATGCAGTCGTACTGGGCCGTTGCTCTTCAGAAACCGGCTACGGTTGTATGAAGCCGGCCGCCTGCCCTACGCAGTACACGCGTGCTGAGGGCGGCGGCAGCTGCTATTATATACGCGACCATTGGATTGCAGCAGACGTTACTTACGGGACCTTCTTATCTCAGCTCGCATCCCTTCAGGAGAACTGCAGTGCGACAGGAGGAGCTCTAGCGCGCCCTACGTCACGTGGGGACCTGGAGAGTCTCGTCATGTTTATTCAGGTGAATCTTTGCAGTCGTACCTGAAACACGACCCCGGCATGAACTGCTCTATGCTATTAATCGATGGGATCTTGTCTTGTCTCGATGCGCGTGGTGTACGGAGGTGCATGTAGTGTTCGCAGGTTCGTATATGGCGGCTGCGTGAGCTGGTGCGTAAGTTCTGTGCGTGCGTATCTAGGGCCTTATGACCTTCTGATGAGTTTAGGACGTCGTAGTCCAAGGTCACGCTGATGCGCCGGTTTATGGGAATGGGTTTACAGGTGTGTACCATATAACGCAAGAATCATATGACACCCACAAAACCTCACAGCACAACGAATAAATGCAAGTACAATTTCGTTAGTATACAGTTTTGCAACACAATAAAAAACGTTGTATGATCCCCTCACATTTTAACTGCCATTATATAACCCAGATTATGCTAATTCACGGGCACTACATAATAATTTTTGTGCATTCATATAGCTGAAAATATTATACGAAAAATCCCGTCCACTCTATAAAAAATAATAAACCCATAAATTTTTTAAACATACAACTTGCTCTATTAAAACGTTGTGGTGCGTGCATGTGTGTGGTGCGTGCATGTGTGCGGTGCGTGCAGGTGTGTGGTGCATGCACGTGTGTGGTGCATGCAGGTTTGTGGTGCGTGCAGGTGTGTGGTGCGTGCAGGTGTGTGGTGCGTGCACGTGTGTGGTGCGTGCAGGTGTGTGGTGCGTGCACGTGTGTGGTGCGTGCAGGTGTGTGGTGCGTAGTGTGTGGTGCGTACAGGTGTGTGGTGTGTAAAAGTGTGTGTGGTGTCAGCCCATGCAAGAAGCGTAAGCAGAACCATGTATAACATATGAATCAGGATTACTTTTTTTTAATAGGTAGAAAATTGTTCTATAATCAAGGAAACTTAGCACAATCTAGCTAAATGCTATTTTAGGATTGAATGGAATGTTGTGCAATCAATATAATCTGAAATTTCCTTTCAATTTTATATGCCAACACCAAAACTCCCCAGTTTAATTATCGTTCTACCCAAACAATTCAATCCTATTCCTTCTTCCAGAAGCAAAAAGGAACTTTTCCAATGAATGTGTTGCTGGGACTTCCTGAGAGGTGAGAAAAACCAAACCAAACTTAAGTCACTTAGAAAAAATCCTTTACAAATTTTATACAAATCTGCAGTCACTTGAAAATTCGAACATTTCATTTCTAAAAATTTCTTTCATAGTCTCGTCGTGAGCATCAATGTTTAAAAGAACATACAGCTTCTAGTGAATCAGTAACAACATTTTTTAAGTGTCGAGGTAAACAAGTTTTCCAGATACGTCGTGTGCTAATTGTATTTATGTAATATAACAGCATGAATATGATAGGCTCAATACATCCTCAAAGGTAGGGATGTCAATTTGCACATCTAAATGAAGCATAACTCGCACAAGACTCAATTAGATAAAACTTCTTATATTTCCGAAATACTGCCATATGTAAGGTAGGTTTCGTAAATAAAAGTTAAACCCATGTCAGTATATGAACATTAATGGATGTCACGCTCTTCAAGCCTGTTCCGTTGAATCTTTTTAGCGCATTTTCTCAATTATGGAAAAAATGCACTATTGCGCTCGCCATGTCCGTCTGTCTGTCTGTCCGTCTGTCCGTCCGTCTGTCCGTGACCTCAAGTTTTCATCGACGAGAAAATGCGCGCTCTGTCACTCACTGCAGTGAGTACTGAGTTACATTTTTCTTCTAATATAGTGGAGCTGGCAATTGGTCCTTCGACGCCTTCCCTCCTGATCCTGACCTGGAGTCGCTGTTCAAAGCCACCGCATGGGGCGTCGCGGTGCTCCAAGTTAACCAAACAAACTACGAGTTCTCCACTGGACCAACCATCATCCACAAATATGTCTGCATGTGGCCAGGACACCTCAGTGAGTCTGAAACTGTGTCAAATATTCACATCATGATGAATGAGAAAACTAAGCGAAGCTAAAAAACAATTAGAGCGGGTGCTGAGGTCAATAAATCTACCTGTATGAGATGCAGGAACACGTACTTCTTCGATTTAACCTCGGCTATGGGAAATTTTTCAATAATATAATATTATTTTGATATTAATAACAAATAACAAATCTTAATAATAACTACACAAGAATGTCTTTTAATAATTTTGTGCTGTTCAGGTGCATATTGTCTAATGATCTTGTCTTAGATCTACAGCCGAAGTTTCCTTTTACCGAAAAATACTCGCATAACTGAGGTTTATTTTATAAAAACACCATTTTTGATCCTGCGCTGCACTCCCTTGAGTGCCTTATTTCTAGTTATAGACCAAGTCGCAAATTTGAACTGGTTCATTATAAAAACGTGTTAATTGCCATAGTTATCATTGTGAGTCAAGCATTATATTCGTTTCTCAACTTGAGTCGAAAATAATTTAATGACATGATCTGATTAATTTTTTAATATTATGTGAGACCCAATGAACCGAATTCAAATACATACATACATACAAAGAAATAAAATCATATTGAAAAAATTATAATAATCATACTAATCCTCTTGAAATGTCGAGCTCATACAGTTTTTCGCCTCAGAGTGCCACGGCGACCTACCTCCCGCCACGCAGAACATGTCACGCATACATTCCGATCACTTTTCTAATGCTACCGGGGACTCAGTAACGTACAAGTGAGGCATTAGGAGCTAGCTGAAAGCTGTTCAATATTCATATGTGAATCATTTTTTAGCATCTAGCTCGATTATATACGTTGCAGGACTTGCCTATTCTGTTTTCATTGTCCTAATAAAATTCTGTGTATCATGAAATTTTCAAGTTGTCGTACTATTGTATATAGCTAGATTTATCTCTTAATTGGGCCTTTCAAAATTATGCCATTTAATAGTGAATGTCTGCCCACCTTCTCAACTCCATGTGCTGACTGTACATCATTGCAGCAAACCTAACGTTCCTTATGGACAATCAGAGTGTCGTCCTTGAAATCGTATTGGTCATTATGAAAAAGTTTTACAGTTAGAATCAATGATTAAATTTTCAAACAAAACCATTTTCATGTAGAATGACGCTAACATCCATGCTGCTAGAGCTTATGATTGAGTAACACAAACTGTATGTGCGTGTCAGATGCTTACCGGGATACTTCATCAACGGCAACGCCAGTAACCCTGTCGGCCAGAGGTATTGGTGCGTGGGTAACGCAGGGAACTGGCGGTACGACCACACCATGTACCCTGAACTTCAAGACTGCTATATAGCTCCAGGTATCACTTACACTGTTAAATAAAGCACCATAATTTGTGCTGAATTGCCCATGCTCAACAAACATACCTATTCTCAAAAGGTAAGCGGTAGTAAAAATGCTGGAAGGTATCCATAATATACGTTTAAAAATTACTTTTTAAAGACAACACTTCCAAAGAATCCAGTGTCTAAAATCGTACATATGTACAATGAATTTCTCATTTAATTTTCGAATATTAAAAAAATTAATTTTTCACTTTTTTTAATATATAAATTTTTTTAATATATAAATTTTTTCACAATTATTTATTACATTAATTGATTCATATATTGCTTCTGATTTCACACAAGTGTGCAAAATTTCAGATCAATTAGACAGGTAAAAGTGTGTCAAATATCAGTTATAAGATTTGTAGCTGACAAAATTATTTTTTCAATTATTTTAATTTGAAAAAAATTAAGTTTTCAAATCATTTATTTTGACATTTGATTCATGCATTGTCTCCAACTTTACACAATTGTGCAAAATTTCAGATCGATAGGATAAGTATCAATTGGACAGGTAAAAGTGTGTCAAATATCAATTATAATATTTGTAGCTGACAAAATTATTTTTCAATTTTTTTAAGCTTGAAAAAAATTTTTTTTAATATTCAAAATTTTTTATTTTGTCATTTGATTTATGCATTGTCTCCAACTTTACGCAAGTGTGCAAAATTTCATATCGATAGGATAAGTAGAAGTGTGTTAAATTTTGATTATAAGATTTGTAGCAGACAGACAAACAGACAAACAAGAATTGAAGTTAAAGAAAAGTGTTGTAAAAAAGGAGATACAGTAGGCGTCCCTTGTGGAAAAGTTCACCCTGGAAGTGCCTGAATAACACATGCTTGCTTTGTTTACTTTATCAATTGGAAGAAGAACAACACCATGCTTTTTATTTAAAAATATTTAATAATTTAACTATGTTTACAAATGCGCAGACATTTTCACAGTTATTCGGATAACAAGCAAAAAATCGAAAAAATATCATTTTTGCGGAAACAGTTGCTTTAGTAGCTTTTACAGTGCAGAATGCACATTTGGATCAGTTCCACCCACGAATTTTGCAATCATAAAGCCACTGACTTTTAAGACAAAATTCTTTTAATTGTACACCACGTGTTATTTTCTTTATGCAGATCCTTTAATGTATGTGTTTTTTTTAAGAATAAACTGAGATATTTTGTTTAACTTAACTCTATATGTCAGTCCGACACCGATTTGGCTCTTTCGCTAATTGTCATTTGACCAGCAGCTCCAAAATTTTCCTTTTCAATCATACTGCACAAGGTTACAAATTTTTTTGTACAAGCAGGTTAGCCCAGAGGCGAAAATCCCTGCAAACATAGAATCCCGCTATCGTAATTTCTGTCCTGCTTAAATTGAAAATCACAGTTTTACATCTTTCAAATAAAATTCATTCATACCACTTTAATTTTGGTTCAATACTTTCTTCCTGGTTACCCCAAGTCAAACCATTTTCCTACTATGAATAAATTTTCAGTTCAAAATAATATTCTGAACAAGCACAGGAACCTTCCTTATATATATCCTATTCGTTGTGCCAGACTTCAAATACACATGCAAACAATGACAAATTCTTAAGAAATTAAACTGAAAATCAATTGATTTTTGTCTTGGTTAATTTGTGTAGTTTGGCAGAAGCTATTCTTTAATGCAGGTTTCATTGAAGACCAGAGAGTATTTCTTATTGACAATTTTCTTATTGATTTTCTCTATTCGGCGAATTAGGCTCCTGATAGGAACTGAAAAGTCAAATATCAGGTTTCCAAGGGACATTTTATTATAATTTTACGACGTTTCGAATGCAACTTCATTCATTATCAAGTAGAGGAAGAATTTACAACACCTGAATTTGAAATTTTTAAATGACATTATAGTACAAACATAGGTATTATGGATACAGCTTGGAATCAAAGCTTAAATTACGAGAACAGTTTCAACGTCCTGACAAATCCGGTAGTTTGTAAATTAATAGCTGGAGACTCCTGCTTGATGATGAGAGCCTCAGCTATGGCCAGTCTTGTGGCGTCTGGGCATCTCATGATGATTCTGGTGTGGGTCTCCAACGTCGCGCGAGTGAGTGTCTCATTATGAGCCTCTCTCATGTGGTTCTTCGGTCCTCCGGTCTGGAGGTGGCATGTTAGGCGGCGGCTCAAAGTCGTGCTGGTCAAACCAATGTAATTTACGTTCTGGACAAGTCTACAACCATCTTTGTGAAAGGAATATTTGTAAATAACATTAGTTTCTTGTAATGGGCTCGACTTTTCGCATGGATTATTTTTCATTATTAAATTCTTGAGTTTCATGTTTTTATAATAAATCAGGAGTTTGATTCGGTCGGCTGCGGTTGTGCTTCTGATGTTATTTAGCACAATTGATTTGATGACTCTTTCGTCTGTCTTGTGGTCTTCAGTCATCTGATTTTGGCAATAAATTGTTATAATACTTTCGTTTGATGTTTGTTCATTGTCCGTTTGGTTCTGACGTGCTCGATAGTTTGAAATTTCACTGTCGATAGTTTTGTTCGCATAGCCGTTGTTTATTGCCAGAATTTGCTTGCAGGCCTGAAGTTCAATTCTAAAGTCACTGGCGGATGTACAGGTTTTAAATGCTCTGTGTATTAAGGCGCGAATAGTGCTGATTTTGTATCTCTGGGGACATTCACTTGCTTCTTTCAGTACTCTTCTGACGTCAGTAGGTTTTCGGTAAACTTTAGTGACGAACATTGTATCTTCCACTTGCACAACTATATCGAGGGAGGGCAATGACTGATTTATCCCAAATTCGCAGGTGAACGTCAAAACTGAATTGAGTTCTAAGGCCACGCGTAGCTCAGTCATGTGATCCTCATCTCGAACAACGACAAAAATGTCGTCGACGTATCTACAGTAGAGCTCAGGCCTAATTTTTGCGTCCGACAATGCTCGGTTTTCTAGTTCGCACATGTAGAATTAGAAAAAAACCTGCATGTCAGGTTTTTTGTTCCTCCTTGTGATCGACTGGGTAATGCGCAGGACTGTGGAAGGTGAAAGAACTGGGCTCCGATGGAATTTAACGACCATGTTGGAGGACCTAGACTTTGCAGATGACATTGCCCTTCTGTCTTCAACAATGAATCACCTGCAGCAAAAAACAACCAGGTTAGAGAGTAATGCAGCAAAAGGGGGGCTAAAACTCAATGCCAAGAAATGCAAGATATTGAAGGTCAACAGCGGGAGCAACAACAAGCTGAGGGCTGGAGAGAGCGAGGTGGAGGAAGTGGAGAGCTTCACATATCTGGGTGCAAACGTCACTAAGGATGGTGGGAGCACAGTGGATGTGAGGAGGCGAGTGGCAATGGCAAGCGCACAATTCAAAAGATTAACAAACATCTGGCAAGCCAGAAACATCAGCAGAAAGACCAAAACCTCCCTGTTCAAGAGCCTGGTTCTTTCAGTTTTGTTATACGGATGTGAGACCTGGAAACTAACCAGGGGAGAAGAGAGAAAACTAGATATCTTTCAGACCAAATGCTTACGGAAGATTTGCAAGATCCGATGGCAGCAACACATCTCAAACGAGTCGGTTCTTGATATGACAGAAGTGGAGAAAATCAGTGATGTGGTGAGGAGACGGAGGTGGAACTGGGTGGGACATGTGTTGAGGAAGGACAGAGCAAGCGACTGTGCTGTGGCCCTCGGGTGGGCACAATAAAATTGTTGTTGCCCAGCCTGCCAGTCGCTGGTGGACACGGAGCTTCAGAAACTCACTGCCGCCGGTATCAACGCTACGGACGTAATAATGAACGACCCGGAATACGTGAACGGCACCATGAACTACACGTGCCCTGATGGCAAAAAAACCAGCGATGGCAGACGCTTCCAATCACTACGCTGCGGAATACAGAACCCATACGCCGTTGATGAAGTGCAGACTATGAATTTGCTTGGAGCTCCCCTCCAAACCTGCTCATGTGAGTGGTCTATCACCTAATTTCAGTATTGTCATTTTCCATCGGTTGTTCGGTCTTTATTTTTTACTCATATTTACTCAGGCTTTAATCGTTCTAGAAATAGTTTACTTCTGTTCATCCATTTGCCAAATTTAGGAGAGAATTATAGAAAACACCCAAGTTCTTTAATTAAACTTACAGGAAGTTACAATCTCGGTTTATTAATTTTTCATGACTTTTCTTTCACAATTCGAGAATATTGTTTATAAATAATAAGTCTCGCATAAACTTCCAACACATTTCTCTCTTAAAGCACGACACTACTGCCAACCATGCATAAATTATCAGTCGGAACGAATGAGATTAACGTTATACTAGGCCGTTACTCCGTGCAGAGCTTTTGTTGTAACGGCTCGTGTAGAGCTTTTGTGTAACCCAATGTAAAACGTTGAGGTACTTATAGAAACAATTTAATAATGAAAATTTTAAAAGCATATAATCTGTCTTAAAAACTGGCCATATCTTCATAAAAAAGTTCCAGTGACCAGGGCCTATACTTCATAAAAAAATTGGAGATCGTAAGTTCATCAGCCAATCATTGACGGCCTTTCAAGCAAAATCCACCAATCATTGAAAAGAAAATAGAGCGTAAGTACTTAGGTTCACTTAACGAGTTTTGAAAGTATGGCCCCAGCTCCATCGTCATGTGAAAATGCCGATGACGATGGAGCTGGACTCCAACCTCATCACAAAGTACTTGCCTAGTAGCTTAATTCTGGCGCAAGGACGCCCTAGGCTCGTCTAGGACGCAAATTAGCGGGTGAAAATTTCGTGGTAAATTCTCTGCTTTTAAATCTTTGTTTAATTTGCGATTCGAGCAATTAAGTGACAATGAATATTATAATAAGCAAATAAAGATAAAAAATGTCTCCAATACTTTTGATCACTCAACACTGACGAGGTACGTTGTATCAGTGTGCGCGGACGCGCCTGCCATCGAAGTAAGCAACAGCACGAACAACTTCGTGGCGACCAAGCAATATTTCGACGGCACCGGTGGCACCACGCAGGGCACAGTGACTGTCACCTGCAATAGTAGCTACGAGATGAGCTTCAATGTCACCAGTGCGGTCATCAAATGCACCAGGCTTGGCTGGGACGTCAGCAATGTTCACAACTGCTCCTTAGGTCAGCAACAAATTTGGTCCTTCGCAATGAATTAAACTATAACATTCGTTCTCGTGCACAACGATCAGATCGCGTACTTTCCTTTTAATTAGCGATCATTTCTTATTTTAATTATACATTTACTACCAGAAGAGAATCTTGTTTATCCACAGAGTGAAATTGCATCAACAATAGCTTAAGTTTAACATATTGATTGGGTATTTCTTAGCATTTCATAGCTATAAACACAAAATTATTATATTAAATAATAGGTGTTAATTAATCTTAAGGTGTTAATTTAAAATACAGTGAAAAATGTGAACTACGTAAAATTTGATATTCATTGTGTCTGGGGAGTCAAAGATTCAATTTCTGAGCAGCATGTACGGCTACACCCCCCAACCCGGCCCCGGGCAACAACATGACCATGGACCACTTCACCACCCGCACCGTGGGCACCATCATCAACTACACCTGCTCTGCCGGCCACTTCTACGCCAGAGATGTAATTATTACCTACTGCACTGTGAACTTATTAACAAGACCTCAGATGGTTCTCTACATGTGTATCTCGAGAGGAACAGGAACACGCGTTATTCCTGAGATGCACCTGATCAAATATGTATTGTACCGTGAACGTATAATGAACAAAACTTAAAATGATTCTTTACATAAAGTATCGATTGAGTTTATAAATTTGCTGTACGTTTATTAAACAATAATTGAAAATGTATTATAAAAACAATAATTGAAAATTTATATTTGTACTACGATTAACATACCCATCGATGAGCTCAGGACCTCCATTTAATTATATCTTGGAAATGCAGACAAAGTTTATTTAAATGAGATTTGAATTGCAGGTCAATAATGCTCTGCTCTCCACTGCCAATGTGACGTGCGACTCGTCTGGCAACTGGCAACGGAGTCCCATGTTTAAATTAGTGTGCACACACGGTGAGTAATGTTTTTATACTCATCACAAATGTTTCCAAATATGTGATGAGTAAATACATTTTTCCTTATCCTTTAGTGCTGTATTAAATTGGTTCCTTAGGGTCCTAACACAGTTGTTTTAGCTCAATCTCTGTGTCAAGTTGGCCGATTAAAAACTTTGCATCAAGATTGCCGTCAAGTGAGATTTATATCTTAGTGATAATTCCTCAATATTCTAAATAACGCCCGTTTAGGCCTACAACTTCGAACTTCGCTAAAACATTACAATATTAATTGGTTCACCTTTTTCAGGTTGTAACTGGGAAACTATAAGCATAAATAATGCTACCCTCTCGCCAACATTTCAACCGAACCAAAACTGGTATTCATTAAATGATTCACTGGACGTCGAATGCAACCCTGGCTACGAGTGGGCGCTCGACAAGCGCTACCAAACTATCAACTGCACAGACAGCGGATGGGACACTGCCCGGCTGAAGCCTTGTGTTACAGGTAACAGAGAAATGGTCTTTTGAATATGTACTGTAATATGTGGCATCTATACAGATCTTATAATCTCGTATGAATTGGTGATTATCATACAAAAATACTTTCAAATTGATTAATATTGTTTTAATGTTAGGTCAAGTGTCACCCGTGAAGGTCGCTATAATATCATACAAGATTTTTAAGATTAAATCGCAGAAGCAACGGCTTCATAAACGCTGGCACGACTAGACATAAATTTGTACTTGGCATTGCGAGCACCACGATTTATGCACACTTTGGAATTATTACTTCTTAGATTTTTTCTTAGCTCAAGCTCTTCATTTAAAGTATTGCCGCAGTTCAACTCTTGCCTCATTTACGCTTGGCTTAGCGCGTTCTATACCATGCGGTATTACAGAACCCCTTTCACTGCAGCTAAATCTCCAGCACAGGATTTTGTGAAATAAAGTAAAAATTCAAATAATTTTTCCATTTGGTTGTGCAAGCCAAGATTCAATTACATGAGAATGACACAGGTAATTTTTACGATCACTGCTGCATCCATCAACGTTGCATCAGTTGTAATATAGATTTACCGATTCTTTTGCATTAGTTTAGGTGTTGTTTATTGTTTATTTTACTTATTTATTTTACTCTATTTATAGTTTACATATATATTTTACTTTATTTATTTCATTATTTGTTTATTTTACGTTCACGTTTTGATCGTTGCATTTGCTCGTTACATCAGTTTTATTATAGATCGGCCAATTCCTTGGCATAAAGTAGGTGTTGTTTATTGTTTATTTAAATTATTTATTCTACTTTATTTATAATTTAGGATTATTTTACTTTATTTATTTCATTATTTTCTTTATTATAGATTCAAGCGTACGTGCCAAATTTGAATAATAAATTAAACCAATCTACTTTTAACCTCTTATATTTTAAATTTTATATGCGTTTCTTACCCGCTGAAATGTTTTTGCCTTCACCAACACTCGGTCATGACACTGAACTCCAGAGAAAAAGGATCTATCCAAGTAATTTTTGTTTCAAGGAAAGACGCCTGGTTTTACAAACGTCAGAAACAGAAAATAAATAATCTTCTTTTTGATAATTATATTTTCGAAAATGTAAAAATTTAAGTGTGCAGCTAGAATTATAATATCAATCGCGGAATTGCTTCCTTATAAATTTTGCCTTCAGATGAAATCTGGATAACAAAAAATTTAACGGAAAGTTCATTATAAAAATCAGCGAGATTAAAATTTATAGTCTCGTTACAAAATTTTCCCTATTTTAATCCCTCGTGTAATTCTCATGATATGTCCCGCGAAGCGAATTAAAATGAAATATATAGCATTAAAGAATCAACAACTATCATCTACATTTGGTGTGCCATCTTCTCAAATCAACTCTCATTCCCTCACTTATTTTAATGCTTGAGGTAATTAATGTCACTCTTACATAAGTTAATTAATTTCAATATTAAACTTGAAATATCAAGTTTATCGCTTCTATTTATGAATAATTTCTGGGACATTCATTATTCAGGGACTCACCTCCACGCTCGCCGTGGTGCAGGCAACCTGCGGCAACAACAGCACGTGGATGTTCGATCACAAAGTCGTAACCTACGACTGTCGTCACAGTGAGTCTTTTAATGAAGAATTTATTGTATATATTACATGCCTATTACAAGTACTATGTCGTAACTTATGACTGCTGACACGGTAAGTCTTTAATAAAGCATTTATTGTATATATTGTATACTTATCACACGTACGAAGTCGTCACCTACGACTGCCATAACGGGAAGTCTTTTAATGAAGTATTTATTGTACATATTTCATGCCTATTACAAGTATCAGGTCGTAACTTACGACTGCCGACACTGTAAGTCTTTTAATGAAGTATTTACCGTATATGTTGCATGCTTATTACAAGTACCAGCTCGTAATCTACGACTGTCGTCACGGTAAGACTTTAATAAAGTATTTATTGTATATATTATATACTTATCGCAAGTACCAAATCGTAACCTACGACTATCGCCTCAGTAAGTCTTCTAATGAAGAATTTATTGTATATATTGCATACTTATTACAAGTACCAATTCGTACCCTAGCTACGACTGCCGTTACAGTAAGTGTTCACATGAAGCAATCAAAAAGGTATTAAATTATTATTAAAAAGTTACTGCCATTGTTATAAAATTATTATTATTACAAGTTGTTAAAAGTATTATTCGAATTTGCGAAGCTTGAGCTAATTTACATATCGAGTCCGATGAATACTTGTAATATAATGTAAACAGGAAATTGCATTCATTTCTTTAGGGAAATTAATGAATTGTTATTAACGGTTTTACTGGGGTAATTGGCAGCCTTTTAGTCGACTTGATTCGAATTATAAAAGGCATAATAATTTCATTAATTTTGGGTACATTTTTCTTAATGATTTAAATTCGGGCGTTTGAGATATATATATAGCAGATAAATACAATTCAAGCATAAAACGTCAAAATTTTGAATATTTATGTGTAAATAAACATTCTGCCAAATATATATAAATATATATAAAAAATTCTGTCAAATATATATGACAATATGACGTATTTTATAATGAAAAGCATTCCATTCTTTCTCAACAATTACTGTTCATTGTTGTTTTTGAAGCGTAAAAAAGTTACGTTGAAGGATCCTGACTCATTTGTTATCTCTTGGTCTGCATTATTTACCAAAAAGAAACTGATGTTCCATAACAGAAATTCTAATAGATCCGTCTTAGTTAAGGAAGGAATTGTGCTGAATAATAAAGCTAAATTTTCTTTGTAATTAGATGATAGTACGCACTAAATAGGTAATTAAACAGCTTTTAGAGGCGGCTGTTTTTACGATACGTTTTACAATGCATTGCAGGGTCACATTTATCTATTATCAACAATTATCTATCTTACATTTAACTTCATATTCATCTTACATTCCTCGGTTTAACATCTGCAAGTCTCTGTTCCTGAACAATCTTGTGAAGAGTGAACAATCTAAACAGCGTCGTAACCTTTCTCCCCTTTGCAGCTTGCGAGGTCAATGACGTCAACATCACGAATGCTGTCTCTGACTTCAACATATCAGCGTCGTACTCAGACACGGGTGGTTCGATGCTCACCGTTAGCTGTAAAGATGGCTACGAGTGGACCTTCCAGGAGCGCGAACAGCGAGTTCCTTGTGCTGCGAGTGGCTGGGATATAACAAATGTTCGCGCGTGCTATCGAGGTAAAAATTTGTTTTTATAGGCCGAGGTCTGAATTTATATTCATATATGGTTGAGATATGCCAACTTTATAAATTATCTCATGAAATGGAGTTTCAACCAAAAACTCCAGTCTTTCAGATCATGGGTAATTATGGAACTTATTTTTATTTTTTAACCGTCGAACTTACTAGTTTAATTTGCACGTCAAATCCTTTTATCTTATATTTATTAAACTAACAGCATTTCACAAACAAAGAGCGAAAAGGTGCAAAAAAATTTATCCCCGTTCAGCTTGCACAGACGAGCCTCCAACAGCTGGGGAGGCTATGGACGATCCTGCTTTCTCTAGCAACTCCGTCGGCGCCATCTTGCTCTACAAGTGTCAGCCTAACTACTACATAAACTATACCTACGTGAGTGATAATATATTCAGAATTACCTAATGGGTAATGAATCTCTTCATGAAAATATAGTAATCAATAATAATGAATTAATGTGAATTCCCATCGATAAATATATTTAATTGAAATGATGGATTCATAGAAAAAAACGTTCTGGAAAAAAATCGAGCACTTATTGATCATACACATTGCAGTTTAGTTAACAATTAAAATACATAGTTGTTTGGTTGTATTATGGCGAAGGTATGTATAAACACATATTATATTTTGTCTAAATCATAGTTTTGTGACACATAAAACCTTAGTTAACATTCGAAATACATAGTTGTATACTTGCATTATGGCGAAGGTGTGGATAATATTTTGTCTAAATCATAGTTTTGTGTTACATGTAAAATATTATTTATTTGCATGTGTTCGTGTGTGGCAGATGTTGGTCCCTGCCAACACTAGCAGCGGCAGCAACGGCAGCCTGACGCAGTTTGTTTCTGTGCCCATATTTCCGCTCAAAAAAACAATGGAACTCACGTGCTCACAAGACGGCAACTGGACCAAGCAATACCCCGACGCTGACATCAGATGTTATCACCGTTAAGTTCTACCTAAAATATGAGAACAATTGATTATTGAATGAAATATAGTTACTATGGAATAATATAATGTTTGTTTGAAATATTGCCTCTCAGTTCCTTATTCACGAAATACACAATTTTTTATCTCTTCAAATTTCGAATGCGACTTTGAATTACAGTTTTTCACGTATTTTTGGTGCAAATTGCTTTGCCAAACAGAATTGAAAGTATCACTTATTCAAATTGCGAACATTATATGTTATCGTTCATTGTTTTAGAAAACTCATGCGTGATCAAGCTGCCGACATTAGTCATCACACTTCAATTCATTATTTTAAATAAAAAATTTTTAAAACTGAATTTTTTCTCTCCATGACAGCTTGCATGATCAAGCTGCCGACATTAGTCAACGCCTTCTCAGACTTCAACGCGTCAAATAATTACTCCGACGTCAACAAGCAGAATTTGACTGTCGAGTGCTTACCGGGATACGAGTTCGCCTTTGAGCAGACCGTGCAAGTTCTGACCTGCGCGGCGTCTCAGTGGGACGACAGGCAACTCAAGCCTTGCTACAAAGGTAGGTCCTGGCACCTTAGCCTTAATGGTCCTTATGGTTAACCTAAATGTTCCTTAAGGTCAACCTTAATGTACCTTAAGGTTAACGTTAATGTCCTTTAAGGTTAACATTAATGTTCCTTAAGTGGTTAAGTTGGTTAAGTGGTTAAGTGGCCCAGTGGTTAAAGTTCAGAGTACCAAGATTGGCGCAGTGAGGCGCGGGTTCGATCCCAGCTCT